ACGGAATCCCCGTAACGATGTTTACCTGCTGCACAGACTCTTGGTCTGAGTTGAAGTTGACTGCCATGGGAAAGGGGGGGGCACTGGTGAGGAGCCCACGTGTCCGCTGGAAGGTCCGGCCGCGACCAAGCACGTCCCCGCTTGACCTTTCCAGCCGCCTTGGCCTGATTCTGGTGCTCCTTTTTTGTTCCTCGTCCCCCCCTTTCTCTCTCTCTCTCTCTCTTTCTCCTTCTCTCTCTCTCTCTTGTTCTCTCCCCTTTCTACTGACAGTGCGTCCTGTACTTCACGCAAAGGCGGTCAGAATAAAAGGGGAACAACATAAGATCACGAGAACACACACTAATTCGGAACAAAAACTGACAATAACAAACAGCAATCCACAACCTAAACACATCACACACACATAAAAAACTACCATAACACATCTCCTGTTCTTTGCACGCCCCAAGCCTCACAAACTACGAGCGTCAGCTTCCTGATGGTCCCTTCTTCGATGGGGTGATGACGGGCGACGGTTGCCGACAACGCGCGGTCTGGGTGATGCGGTGGGCGTCGTGCAACGGTCGCGGCAGTTATGTCTGCGCATCGCGTACTCCTCACCATTGTGAGGAACACCGCCCAGGGGCAGGCAAGGCCTGGCAGGTGCGCCTCCCTCACGCGCTTCGTGACCCCATGGGGAGCTCCACCGAAGGCCCAAATAGCAACGCAACGCCCGCATGGCGCCGCGACTCAACTTTGGCGCACGCCTGTCGAGCTTCGTGGCCGCACGGGGAGCTCCACCGAAGCCCGAGCATCGGCGGGGCATGGCGCCAGCGCGCAATTTTGACACACCCTCGTACGTTTCGTGGCCCCACAAAAGGGGGAAGGGGGGGCCACCGAAGGCCCAAGTGGCCGCGCCCGCAGGGCGCCACCGCCCAGAGTGGGGGCACCCCTCACGTGTTTCGTGGCTTCGCGGGGAGCTCCACCGAAGGCCCAGATGGCAGCGCCCGCATGGCGCCACCTCCCAATTTTGACACACACACACACACACACCACGCCTTTCGTGACCCCACAGGGAACTCCACCGACGGCCCAGATGGCAGCGCCCGCGTGGCGCCATCTCCCAACTTTGGCACACACGCACACCACGCGTTTCGTGACCCCACAGGGAGCTCCAGCGAAGGGCCCACATGGCAGCGCCCGCGTGGCGCCACCTCCCGATTTTGGCGCCCCCCCTTCCCACGTCTCGTGACCCCACAGGGAACTCCACCGAAGGGCCCAAATGGCAGCGCCCGCAGGGCATCGCCGCCCAACTCTCCGGCACACTGGTCGCGCGCTTTCGTGACCCCACAGGAAACTGCACCGAAGGCGCAAATTTCAGCGCCCGCGGAGCGCCACAGACGCGCGTTTCGTAGCTCCCTACCAGGGAGCTCCACCGAAGGCCCAATTTGCATCGCCCGCAGGGCTCCACCGCTCCATTCTAGGACACCCCGCACACGTTTCGTGGCCCTGTAAGTGAGTAGCTCCACCGAAGGCCCACCGCAAACCCCAGCGACAGCGTCCTCATGGCGCCGTCGTTTCAATTTCAGCACCCCATCGAACACCCAAGTGGCAGCGCCCACCAGGCGGCGCTTCGCCCGTTCCCGTGGCACCTCACGTTTCGTGGCCCCACGGAGAGCCTCCCCCTTTTCCCACCTGTCCTGCGGTCACGCCTGCATATGGTTGGGCCCTTCGTCCATATACATTGTGCTTACTTTTCCGTTCGTGACATCTTCGGCCGGGATATTCAGGTCGTGTTGTACACTCCATCTTACAGAGTAACTCGCTGTTCGGCCCAAGTTGCGTATTGCTGCCACTCGGTGGCCTCAGCGCAAACACACATATATGATTCGTAACGTGTTACGATTCGAGCGCGCTATCCTCATCACTATCCTTCTGGGAAGCGTGTGGGAAGAGAAGGCGCAGGATGAGGAGGATGAGACGGACGAGGAGGAAGAGGATGAGGAGAAGGAGGAGGACGACGAGGAGGAAGAGTAGGAGGACGAGGAGGAGGTGGATGGGGGGGCGGAGGGGCAAGAGAAGGAGGAGGAGGAGGAGGAGAGGGAATAAGACGCGGAGGAGGATGATGGGGATGATGATGATGATGATGATGATGATGATGATGATGATGATGATGATGATGATGAAAATGATGATGATGATGCTGATGATGATGATGATGCTGATGATGCTGCTGCTGCTGCTGCTGATGATGATGATGATGAAGATGATGATGATGATGATGATGATGATGATGATGATGATGATGATGATGATGATGATGATGATGATGATGATGATGATGATGATGATAGGGAGGAGGAGGAGGAGGAGGAGGAGGAGGAGGAAGAGGAAGAGGAGGAGGAGGTGGAGGAGGAGGAGGAGGAGGACAAGTGTAAGCCTAAGAGTCATTAGCGATGTTGGAATATACCCTCCCTCCAAGCTCCCTCTTCATGAATCCCATACGACGTTTCATTTCCACTGAGGGAACTGCCTCGTTGAAGGCAATCGTTTGAAGACCCTGAAGCATGCCAACACATTGTTCTCGGGATTCCAACGCCACATATCAACCTGAGTGTTGCGTCTTGATGGTCCTGAATCCTGCCAGAACGCCATTCCTGGGACTTCAGGACCGCGAATCAACGTAACTGTTGCACCCTCCTCATCATGAGTCCTTCCCAAACACCATTTCTGATACGTTGACCACGGTAATCCGTGAAACTCTTGCAAAATGTAAGAACTAATGTGCGCGGCGCTAAGGCGAGAGCCACATTTTGAAAACGAGCCGCCCCCAATCAGTACAACTTTTGAATTTCAAAAAACGAATGCACGCGGCGATAAGGCGAGAACTCCATTTTGAGAAGGAATCGCCTTCAATCCGTGAGACCCTTTCATTTTTGCAACGAATGTACGCTGCGCCAAGGCGAGTGGCACATGTTGACAACCATTCGCCTTCAATCCGTGAAAATCTTGCAAATGTTTAAAACGAATGTGCGCGGCACTAAGGCGAGAACAACATTATGAAAACGACCCGCGCTCCATCTGTGAAACTGTTGCCAATGTTTAAGCTTCAGGGCCATACATGTTGAGGAAGTCTCAGGCGAAGCGCCCAGTCCGCCCTAAAAATGAGGTGGTGGATGAGGAGGAGGAGGAGGAGGAGGAGGAGGAGGAGGAGGAGGAGGAGGAGGAAGAGAAGGAGGGGGAAGGGGAGGAGGGGGGAGGACAAGCTAGGTGCGCTCGCGTCATATCTGACATCCTACCCCTCCCTCCCATCCCTTACCATGACGCAGATCCCCTCTCTACTCGCACAGTCGGATGTCGAGCAGGGCAGTGATCCCGAAAGGGTACGCGATGCATTGTAGAGCACGGCGTGGCATAGCGTAGAAGAGCACCGCGAAGCGCAGCATCAACCTAGCATTGCATTGCATGCCGTGGCATGGCACGGGAAATGACGCCAGCGCTGCAGCGGGAACACGAGTCGAAACGAGCGGATGCGCGGAAATGAGGCCATCGCGGCAGCGGGAGCACGATTCGGAACGAGCGGAAGCACGCCGGAATCGGCCCCGGAAGCTTCCTGGGCGCCAGAAGCAGAAATTCAGCATTTTCAAAAGAAAAATGTGTGTTGGAATGGCCTTTTTTCGGCGCCGCCTCGGAACTCGATTTTCCGGCGCTGGCCGGAACCAGCTCCGGACCCGGCCCGGGCGCCGGCCCGGGCGCCGGCCCGGGCGCTGGCTCGGGCGTCCGGCCCGGGTGCCGGCTCGGGCGCCGGCCCGGGCGTCGGAATCGGCCCGGGAGGCCTCCCGGGCGCCATTTTCAAAAGAAAAATGTGTATTAGAATGGCTTTTTTTCGGCGCCGCCTCGGATGTTGATTTTTTCCGGCGCCGGCCGGGACCGGCTCCGGACCCGGCCCGAGCGCCGGCCCGGGCGCCGGCTCGGGCGTGCAGCCCGGGCGCCGGCGGAAATGATGCCAGCGCTGCAGCGGGAGCACGATTCGGAACGAGCGGGGCCCGAAAATGAGGCCCGCGCCTCAGCGAGAGCAGCATTTTGGAACAAATGCAGGCGAAAACCCAACTCCAGGGAAACCTGTGTGTAAAAAACAATACGCGGGGGGGGGTCGGATACTTTCAAGCCGTCATCAGGGGACGAGGGAGAGTAGTATTCATATTGAATAGTTTTGGAGGAGGAGGAGGAGGAGGAGGAGGAGGAGGAGGAGGAGGAGGAGGAGAGGAGAGGAGGAAGGAGAGGAATAATAATAGGCGGGGAGGAGGAGGGGCAGGGAGGGACGGAGGGAGGGGGGGAGGGAGGAGGGGGGGAGGGAGGGAGGAGGGAGGGAGGGAGGGAGGGAGGGAGGGAGGGAGGGAGGAGGGAGGGAAGGAGGAAGGAGGAGGAGGAGGAGAGGAGGAGGAGGAGGAGGAGGAGGAGGAGGAGGAGGAGCACGCCCTAGGCCAGAGGCTCAGGGCAGATCGCAGCAAGGTTTTTGTCTCTTACTGTTTGTGAATGGTCTTGGGACAAGCTACTGATCCAGTGAACCAGGAGGAGGAGGAGGAGGAGGAGGAGGAGGAGGAGGAGGAGGAGGAGGAGGAGGAGGAGGAGGAGGAGGAGGAGGAGGAGGAGGCGGAGGAGGAGGAGGAGGAGGAGGAGGAGGAGGAGGAGGAGGAGGAGGAGGAGGAGGACGAGGAGGAGGAGGAGGAGGAGGAGGAGGAAGAGGAGGAGGAGGAGGAATAAGAGGCGAGGAGGAGGAGGAAGGAGGAGGAGGAGGAGGAGGAGGAGGAGAGGAGGAGGAGGAGGAGGAGGAGGAGGAAGAGGCGGGAGGAGGAGGAGGAGGAGGAGGAGGAGGAGGAGGCGGAGGCGGAGGAGGAGGAGGAGGAGGAGGAGGAGGAGGAGGAGGAGGAGGAGAAGGAAGAGGAGGAGGAGGAGGCGGAGGCGGAGGAGGAGGAGGAGGAGGAGGAGGAGGAGGAGGAGGAGGAGGAGGACGGGGCAAGGCCAGCATGGCGGCCACCGGCGGCGTCGGCATGCCTGGCGTCCTCAAGCTTGTGGTGCAGGCCTTCCTCGAGGACTGGGGGCGCTCTCCGGAGCCGGCCGCCGTTGTCGTCATCGCCCAGAGTCAGAGAGGCAGAAAGGCATATGGGGACGATTTGTTTTGACTATTTTTATTTCTTTGTGGATTTTTGCTCTTACAATAAAGTTGTTCGTCCAAAATTCCGCTGTAGGGGGACATGCCCGACCTAAAACGAGGAGACAATAACACAGACACAAATACACATCGGTCGTTGAAAGTAGGTATTTTTGGATTCCCAGATTCCAGTCTACTTCAAGCGCCTTCCTATTTCAATAATCGATATGCTTCCCCTCTTCCCTCCTCTTCAGAGGGCGGGCGGAGACCAAATAAATCTACTTTCAACGCCCTCCTACTTCATGGTTCTACCTACTTCTTCCGACCGATGGGTAATCGTCGATTCCCAGGATAGTACGGGAAAGTGTGGGAGGTCGGAGGGGACGACGAAGCTCAAGAACATACAGGGAAATAGGGCACGCCCTCGAGCTTGTGTCTATTTACTTGTGTGTCCCTGGGCCCCTTCAGCAGAGAGAGACAGAGGGATCGGCCTTCCTCTGCGGCCCGCCTTCCCCTGGTGGCGCGCACGAGGGGGCAGGGCGAGGGAGGGGAGGCCTTCTGAGAGGGTGGGGGCCTCTCGGGGCGGATCTGCCCTCGCCCGGAGGCTCACAAGGAGGGACTCCCAGGGCTCCAGGGACGGGGGTCAAGGCAAACAGGGGTCAGCCAGAGCAGCGCTGGGTCTTGCAGGATTCTGCAGGGCCAGGGCTGCGCTGAGTCGGGGTCCGCGTGCAGGACCCTGCAGGACCCTGCAGGATCTTTGCAGGACCCTGCAGGGCCTGACTGACCCTGGCTTTAGGTCGAGCATGTCCCCCTACAGGGGGACTTTGGACGAAAGATCAACTATAGCCAAAACTATTCAAAACATAGCCAACATAGTTCCAAAAAATTGTCCCCAGACTATTTTTGGACTATTTTTGAACATTCCTCCTGCAGAGGGACGTGCCCGACTGAACTCTGGCTTGCACGGACCCAGGTCCGTGCGTCCCCGAGCCTCGTGGAGGGCGGGGGGTGCCCGTCCGCCTCCTCGAGGCACGGTGCTCCTCCTCCTCCTCCTCCTCCTCCGCCTCCTCCTCCGCCTCCTCCTCCTCCTCCTCCTCCTCCTCCTCTTCCTCCTCCTCCTCCTCCTCCTCCCAAGCAGGAGGAACACTACAAGACGCTGTACAGAGTTCTCGCGGAGCAGTGGCACAGCTGCCACTCCCTCACGGCCGCCATGAGACTCATGGAGGCGGGGGCGGCCGCAACAGAGGGTGGGGGGTGGCGAGGACGAGGAGGAGGATCAGTACAGTTGTGCTATTTGCTTTCCCATTTCTACCGTGAGGTATAGCGTGCTCTGGCTCTACACGCCCACGTAGGCTACTTTGTGTTCCTGCACTCTAGGTCCTGGGTCCATCTTATCTCTTACACTGCTGCCTTTATTGCATGTCTTTCATTGTTGTTTGAAGCCGCTTCGCGTTCACCGCCCGCCCATCTCAGTTCTCGCCAGAAGAGGCGAAGACGGCTCCACGGCCCCGCAGGTGTGTTTTGTATTTCTTCTTGTCTTCCATCCCATCGCCGACTGGACTCGAGTACGCCCCGTGGTTGATCGATAACAGAGTTGTCGTTTGGTTGTCCACCCGTCGTCCTCACCAGCGGACCAGTGATAGGGACGCTGGCTCTCCGGACCTTTGCTACTCATCCATAGCAGGAGGCCAGACATAGCCAGAACACCGCTCAGAATTAGCCCAAGACGGTTCGAAGACGGCCCAGAAGTCGCCGACATGGGCCGAAAAGGGCCCAGAAAAGGGTCCGCAAAGGGACCAAGACGGTTAGAGGCGGCCCAGGCCGGCCTCTTGACGGCCCAAACGTGAGCACTCCCGCGTTGGGTTGCAGCCCCGCCTGAATTTTTATGAAAACGGAGTCAGGATCGGGACCGGTTTGGGCCTCGTTTGTGGGATCCAGGTTGGGCCCAGAATTGTCCAACATTGTTTCCAGAACGCGTCCGAAAACGGCGTCGAAAGCTGGATGTCCAGCGAAAACCCGAGATGAGCCCGAAAGAGAGCTAGAATAGGCGTCCTGGCGATCTTTTGCGAGGTTAAGATCGCCAACAACCTACCGGTTTCTGCCATAGGTTGAAGCTTCCATGTTGTAAACGAAATGGAGCCCAAAAGACGTTCTTGAATGCTCCAGGCATTGATCTCGAAGGCAAGAATCGGGCGACGAAATCTATACATCCCGCCTGGCCAAGCCAGTGCTGGGTTCAGGACGGGCCTGGCCAGGGAGCAGTGGATATGGATATGTTTCGTCGCCTTAAGGTAGGGGCCCCGACGGGGCTAACATGGAGTTGGAGATCTAAGCTTTTGGGAACGGTCTGAAGTTCGAGCTCGTCTTGGGCGCCGTCTTGGGGACCGAGAAGGGAGCGGGATGCAGCTGGGCGGCGGAATGGCGGGGGCCTCTGGGAGGCGGGTCAGGGGGGGCTAGAGCCTTTAATTAAGGCGCTGGTCGTTGAAAGTAAGTAGGTATTTTTGGATGTCCCCGATCCCAATCTACTCTAGGCACCTTTCTACCTGGAGAGTCGAATGATGCTCTCTCTTGCCTCCTCTTCAGGGGGGCGGGCGGAAGCCCGATCCACTTCCAACGCCTTCCTAGTTCATGTTTCTACCCGCTGCTTCCGACCGACGGGTAAATCTCACGCCCATCAGCCCGGTGCGCGACCGGATTCCTGTCGTTTCGCTAGGAGCTCGCCCAGAGCACGTAAAGACGGCGTTGGGCAGTTTGCCCTGCTCGTCAGCCTCGCTGTTCTGCCGTGTCGTCCTACCTGCTCCAGGGCATTGCCAGCGCCACGTGGGGCGGATGCCCCCCCCCCCTCTCCCCGTGTCAACACCAGGACGAGCGTGCGAATGTCTATCTACGAGCGCAATGGGCATTTACCGCGTGTCAGCACAAGGCAGGTCCAAGTGATAAAACACAAGGCAGCGCAGCAGGAGCATAACAACAGCACGCCGTTCCCACACCATTCCGCGGGCCGCTCGGGGGTCCCTCGGGGCCGTTCGGGGGTCTCTTGGGGGCCCCTCGGAGGCTTCTTTGGGGCCCCTGGGGGCCTCCTGTGCGTCCCTCTGTGGCCTCCGGGGGCCTACTGTGGACCCCTTTGGCCGTCTTGGGGCGCTCCTGCGCCGCAGGGCCCCCCCTCAAAGGCCAGCGAGGGCGCCCTCGCACGGCGCGGTCCCGCGAGGTCTGCGGGCATGCCCGAAGGAGCAGCGGGGGGCCCCTCCCCGCGCTGCGGCAGTGCACGATCTCTTCGGTCGCGGCGGTTGCAGATGTCCTCCTCCTCCTCCTCCTCCGCGGGGCTCCGTGGTGCTCCGCACCGCGGGGGAGGGGGAGGGGGAGGGGGAGGGGGAGGGGGGGGGGAGGGGGAGGGGGAGGGGGAGGGGGAGGGGGAGGGGGAGGGGGAGGGGAGGGGAGGAGGAGGGGGAGGAGGAGGAGGAGGAGGAGGAGGAGGAGAGGAGGAGGAGGAGGAGGAGGAGGAGGAGGAGGAGGAGGAGGAGGAGGAGAGGAGGAGGAGGAGGAGGAGGAGGAGGAGGAGGAGGAGGAAGGAGGAGGAGGAGGAGGAGGAGGAGGAGGAGGAGGAGGAGGAGGAGGAGGAGGAGGAGGAGGAGGAGGAGGAGGATGGAAGCGACTTTCGGCCCCGCCGACGGGCACTCCTGCCGGCACGAGGTCACCTCCAGCGCCGCGAGGCGCTGGGAAACTCAGCTGGGCGGGCTGATTGATCCTTCCCTCCTCTGCTATCCTCGTAGGCCTAGAGGTTGACACCAACACCGATTTCGGCGGTGTGCTTCCACCGAGGGAAGAAGATCCTAGATCTCGGTGATGGTGGTAATATTCTGGCTTCGAAGGTGACCCAACTATTACCACCAACGCCGACATCCAGGATCACCTCCCCCCTATCGAGGCAACCCTCTGTGCTCGTGTTGGTGCACATTTCCAGGCCTCCACTATCCGCCCCCGCCCCGAACTCGTGGGCAAAACGCATGTCCTCATTCGTGGCCTCGCGGGCTGGGCCCCTGGGCCAGGACGCCGCGGACACGGGGCGCTTCTGTTGCGAAGGACCCCCGCAGAGCGCATCCGTTGGACCGCGCATCCGTGGGATCGCGCCCCGGAGTCCAGACCGCGAGAGTTCGCCGCTCGTGGTGAGCCTCGAGCCTCGAGCCTCGAGCCCCGAGCCTCGGCCCTCGGCCCTCGGCCGGCCGCCTTCTTTGGCCTCCGCCCCCTGCAGGCGCACGGCGTCAAGATCACCAAGGAGGAGGACCGCTCTCCCCCCCCCCCCCCGGCCTCGGCGGCGGCAGCGTCGGGCGCTCCCCGGAGGGGCCACGGCGCGGGCCGGGGCCCTCTCCGCCCAGCACCAGGCCCCGGCCTGCTTCTCGGTCGACCTCCGGATGCGGCCGAGGGTCAGCAGCGCCCAGTGCTTGCCCACGTTCCGAGCAGGACTCGCGGTTGGTGCCGCCGCGGTCGTGGTACACGTGGGACACACGTCGCCAGCCCAGCCAACGGCGGCCGCGGTCGGTTCTGGGGAGCGTTTTCTGTCGGGTATCGTCCCCACCTTCTCCGTCCCCATCTCGGGCGTGCCGCATCTCCTCTGCCCTCCCCCCAGTTGTCGCTCCCCCTTTTGCGAATTCTGTTCCAGATCCCCTCAGCTCCGCGATGGGGTCGGTGAGTTGAGGAATGAGGGCGCGGGTAACGGGGGTCAGTTCTGACAGATGGCCAGCCATTCCCCTCACCTAACTCTTCCGAAGGATGTTTTCTTTGGATTCCCAGCTGATTTCTCCAATTTCGGCTTCCAGGAGTCGCCTTCTGTCGAGTAGAGGATCGACTACAGAACTGATCCACGGGCAATTCGTAGAACCCTCGAAGATCTACGAATGGTTGACGTAAGTTAGTTTTGTTCGAAGAGTCGACGTGAAAATCAATTTTTGGGTAAATCAATTCTGTAGTCGATCCCCCAGTCGATTCTGGCCAGCGGACACTTAGAAACACAACTGGGACGAAAGCTCTGAGTCTGCGGATTGGAAAGATCACATCGTCGGATGTGTGGGTTTGATCCCGTTTGGCCAGGGCTCGACTCAAATTGTGTCTTTGCGATCTTGTGGGCCGTTTTCGTTTAGCCTCGTTTTGCAGCGGAGGCGGAACGAAGACAAAGCGAGGGACAACTAAAACGACACGAGATCAAGAAAGACACTGTTTTGGTCGAGCCCTGCCTTTGGCCGACGAAGGCTTTTGGGAGCCGCGTGCAGCCAGGCCCCGCTGCCCTCCGTGCGCTGACCAGGGTCTGGGCGCTGCTCCGTTACCAGCCCCTGTTCGCGACATGGCCTTCGCTGACCAGTGTTGCACGCCCGTCGTTGAAAGGATGTATTTTTGGATGTCCAGATCCCAATATACTTTTTGACGCCTTCCTACCTCAACAGTGGAGTGGTGCTCCCTCTTCCCTTCCCACTTCGGGGGGCGGGCGGACGCCCAATCCACTTCCAACGCCTTCCTACTTCATGTTTCTAGCCACTTCTTCCGACCGACGGGTACAGTTAGATCGGGGTGTATAAGATCGAGGTTTGTTCGGGTCGGGCATCCTAATGTTCTTCGTCGTTGTTAGATGTTCTTGTGCATCCTGGGGGAGGGTACCCTCGAATGTTCTGCCGTTCGGCCGGCGGAGGTCTCATGTTCTTGAAGGTTAATTTTCTGTCCTAGGCCTGTCCGTATTTGTTACCAGCCAGAGTTCGCGACATGGCCTTAGTTGACCAGGGTCAGCGCTGACTCAGGTCAGCCTGTCACCGAAAGAGCTTTTTGGCTGTATCCTCCGGACATCATCAGAGCAGGTTTCCCAGATCCCGCTGGCGCCGAACGTTATGTCATTTTGGAGCGGTGCTATTGTTCGGCGAAATTTCTCATAGAATCTCGAGTCACTATGAATATTCAAGTGAACCAGAACAGGCTGGACAGCTTTCAAGAATCTTGTTTTCGACGAGGACAGGGAGTCCCACGTTCTTACTACTCCAGGGTGTCGAACGCCACAGTTCTGTCTTTAGGTCGCGCGGACCGCTTGAGCGAGATATTGCGTAAGCGTCACTCGCAATCGTAAGCGAAACTATGCAGTATGCCTGGCAATGTTCATCTGAGGTCTTTGGAGTGTGAACCTAGGACACTTGCACTAAGGCAGTGGCATTTGGTCAGGAGACGCGGCAGCCCCAAGCTACAGTAGGCCCATTACTTGTTCAGTTCAGATTATTGCAGTCATAATGAGAGGCACCAGACTATCTCTAATCGCCCTCGTTGTCTCTTAATTATTCCTTCCCCCTGGTTCCCTTGGTTTGCAGATGCCTCCGAATTGAAGGCACTTAGCATGTTCTGTTTGGTCACTAAGCGCCGTGCCGAGGGCTGGCGCATGGCTTCTGTCCTGTTCTGGGCTTTGGGGCCTCTGGGCACCTCTTGGGACCTCCTCCTAAGGTCCCCAGGGATTGCCACAAACCTCCACAGACCTTAGGTGGAACTCCTGAGGTCCTCCCTCCCGCCTCCCTGCTCACTCTCTCCTCTCTCAAGCCGCCGCTTGGGCTCGAGTTGTGGGTCCCCTTTTGGCTCTGCCAGGCACTTTGGCTCTCGGGACCACGCACCTTGCCGCTGTACCCGCCATCGCTGTGCAGGCTTGAACGCCGTCGAGGCGGCGCTGGCGTCGGCGAAAAGCAAGGTCATGGACTCGATCGTGTATGGCGTCGACATGGACGGCTACGCGGATATCAACATCGGCTGTGACAGTGATTTCCGTACCATTGTTTGGCCTGCCGCCGAGCTGTAGTGTCATCCACGTAGGAGCAAAGCCGCGCATTTTTGGGTCTAGGCGGGAGAGTTCCTCTGGAACTTGGGAGGGCGCATCCCTCTGACCAACCGCGTGGGCGGCTGGCGCGAGTGGGTCCCCTTGGTCGAAGCCGATCGTGCTCTCGACCTCCTCGAAGTTGCCCGCGGCGTTGGGGCCAGAGGTGCCTGGCGTGTCTAGAGCACCAAGCATCGAGAACCCATGCGGTTCCTTACACGCGAGCAGCTATGGCCCGAATGGTTGGCTCTCTCTGAGAGGCGTTGGGAGGCCACCTTGATGAACACCATCCCTCGGGTGAGCGTCGGAATGGACCCGGAGCTGCCTGACCACTAGGTCCGCCCCGCACATCTGGCCAACTCCGTACTGGTGAGGGCCAGCCGCTCGACGGAGTCTGTCTCTCTTGCCTGGCGCCAGCGCCCGCATCCAAGCCGCCGCAGCCTGGCCCCCATACGTAATGGGCGGACATCCCCGTCTATCTATACAGTTTGTCTGCAAGGTTCCTACAAGTTTTTGTTGCAGACTGGTGCGCTCGTTGCCAGATCGGGAATCGGGCAGGCGACGTTGCCTCCCGTTGCTTCCCGTTTCCTCCCGTTGCCTCCCGTCGTCCGCCACGGGTGGTCCGGCCGGGCCCAAGCCGAGCAGTCTTCGCAAGCAGCTCGCCGGCCTCCTCCTGCACCTCGCCCCCCCGGTCTGAGCTCGGGGGCGGCCCCTTGGGCGCCGCGTAATGGGGGGGTCATAAATGGGGGGGTGGCGAGCGTGGTCCGAAAAGGTACCCAAACGGTACCTGAACGAGCCCCCTGGGGCTGTGGAGGGGCCCGAAAGGGGCACGAAAGGGGACCTTTTCTGACCCCCCCATTTGTGACCCCCCATTTAGCCACGCCCAAGCCCCGCGTCGGGCTGAGCGGGCTGGGCGGAGCTGCGACGGCTGCGACGGCGGGCGGCGGGGCAGGAGGTGCGCCGCTTCTCCAGCGCGCCGCGGCCCCTGCACGGAGCGAGCGCAGCACCCCCCCCCCCCCCCGCGGCCCGCAGCGCCAGCCCTCGCCGGCCGCGGCCCGGGTGGGAGCCCGGCGCGCCTTCCTCTGCCCCGCTCTGCCGTCGGCTCTGGCCGCGGGCCTCGACGGGACTTGAGACGGGCACGGCCCTCTGCAGGAGGCACGCTCGAAAACAGCAGAAAGATCGTGTGGGGACGATCTCTGGACTCTGTTTGACCAGCTCGGAGCCTTTTTCTTGGCCATCTTTTATATATTTTTCGTCCCATCTCCGCCTGCAGCGGGACATGCCCGACCCAACGCCAGCCCTCGCCGGCCGCGGCCCGGGTGTGAGCCCGGCGCGCCTTCCAGCTCTGGCACCGGCTCTGGCCGCAGGGCCTCGACGGGACCCATTCGCCCCAGAGTGCGGCACCCCGCCGGCCGCCCCACTGCCACGCCGGGCGCTCCTCTCGCGAGCTGCGGCGTGGGTGGCCTGGCCAGCGGGCTTGGCCGTGGGCGCGTCGAGGAGGAGCGCCTTCGCTTCCCCCTCCTGCTCGGAGGTCGGGGGCAACGATAGGGGGGGATAGGCATAGGGGGGGATGCATCGACCCCCAATCGCCCATGGATCGCCGATAGGGGCCCGATAGCCCCAACCTGCCCAGGAAGGTGCGGATTCACTATCGGAGGCATATCGCCCATCTATCGGCGATGTGTCGCCGATTCCAGGTCGATGCATCCCCCCCTATGCCAGTCTCCCCCTATCGTTGCCCCTCAAGAGGCCCCCTCCCCGGCCGCAGGCTCCAGCACCTCCAGCAGCAAGTCGGCGGCGAGCGAGGGGGAGGTGGAGGTTTTGTCTCAGCCCCCTGGAACATGACGTTTTGCACCGATTTTCCCGTGGAGTAGCAGGATGGAATCTGATTAGAAATGGATCTGCCTCTACTGGAATCATATTTTAGAGATGGGCCCACCTCGAATGGAACCCTTTTACATATGCATCCACCTCTGATAGAATCTTAAACCGCATGGATCGACCTCGAATAGAACCGCATTGCAGATGGATCCACTTCTCATAGAATCGTATGACAGATGGATCCACCTCAAAAAACCTACTACAGATGGATCCACCTTCCATAGAATCCGATTAGGAGTTGATCCCCCTAAGAAAATCCAACTACAGAAGGAGCCACCTCTAATATGATATTATGACATATGGATCCACTTCTAATAGAATCCCATTTGAGATGGGCCCACAACTAGTGGCATCCCATCAGAGATGCATCCACCTCGAATGGGATCCTTTTACGTATGGATCCATCTCTAATAAAATCCTTTTTACAGATGAGCCCACGTCTGATATAATCCCAGTACATATGGATCCACCTCCTAATATAATCCTATTAGCGATGGATCCACTTCTGATATAATCCAATTAGACATGGATGCCCCTCTAATGGGCTCCAATTACAGATGGGTCCACCT